ATCAGTTATTAATGAAGCTATGCACACTGTTTCTTACTCATGTGGGACCTTTGGTTTGATTTAAAAGAACTCGACAATTACTCATCATTGTTTTGCCAGATATTACTTCAGAAATTAATATATGCTTAAATGTTCATTCATTTATTAACTATTTGAGCAGATTAAAAAAGTATTGTGTCATCTTTTAGATTAGGCATCCTTCAGTCTCGAGAGACTATGCTAACGTGCTTTGTATGGAGCACTTAGAACAGCATCTAGTGTAGCTGAGAAGGCCAATTCGAGAGTGACAATCCCTTCCACACTGAAGACAAATACAATCTGTACCCTGTCCAGCTCCCTGATTTTGCTGCTTTTGTGATTTCCTCTTTGTCTCGGCCTGCTGGACAAGGGTCTCTTCAAAATGGGAGAGGCCATGATACACCGCCTGCCTCCAGGCTGAATGCTCAGATGTCAAAGTTTCCCATCCATTGAGGTCCATTCCTAAGGCCTTCAGATCCCACTTGAAGATATCCTTGTATCACATCTGTGGTCTCCCTCTGGAGTGATTTCCCTGCACTAATTTTTGGATTAGATCTTTTGGAATCCAACCATCAGCCATTCTCACGACATGCCCAAGCCAACGTAGACATCACTGTTTCAGTAGTGTCTACATGCTAAAAATTCCAGCTCGATATAGGACTACTCTATTTGGAACTTTGTCTTGCCAGGTGATGCAAAAAATGTGTCGGAGACAATGCATATGGAATGTGCACAAATGTGCACAAAGGGTCCAGGACTCACTGCAGTACGGGAGTGTACCATCTATAAGCAAAATTTTAAAAAAATTGAATTCAGTAGTACTTTCATTGGACCACTAGAAATGTGTTTCCAGGTCCTTCAGAAGTTGCAAGGCTTGGGACTGGAGATGGGCACGATTTAAGTCAGCCTGAGGTGGCGAAATTCTTTGGTGTGACACCAGAGGTGCCACTCATTCCCTCTCCCCAAACCCCTCTCTCCATGTGCCACCCAGGGTGTCCTCCGTCTCTGCCCAGTCTGGAAAGGAGCTTAGGCTGCCCTTCCCTGCCTCGTCCGATAGTCAACCACTCAGCCGCTATACAGGGAGAAACCCTGCTCCACTTACTTGTCTAAGTGGTCAACTACTGGAGAAGGCATGGAAGGGAAGCCCAAGCTCCTTCCCCAACTGAGCAGCTGGCAACAGAGGATGACCATCTGTACTTGGGACTTAAGGAGAAAAGTCTAAAAAACATACTGGCTAGAAGTTACTGCAAGAAGATTTGTGGTTTCTTGAATCTCAAAATGAGTATTACAGATTAGAGATGTGATATATGAGGTTGCATTGAAGAGACATAATCAATTCTAGAGAAAGGCAATTGGTTCCACATCTCTTGAGATGTAACCTGAAAAAAATCTGACTGATTTGAAAACTTGCCTTTTTAATAATATTTTAATGGCATAATAAAGGTATTTGAGCGTAGACTATTCATATATCTAAAAATATTTACATATTTTAAAAAAAGAATGGAATGTCTTGCCTTGCTACCTGTTAGTTGTTATACTCTTCTCTCTATAACAGTAACAATTATGGAGAGTATATACTGTTACTTTGTATTTTTCTCCAGGTATGAAGTCCATTTATATTATTATCGTAGACATCCAAAGCATACATTGAAACATGTCCAACTTCATATGAGTACAGTGGTGCCTCGACTTACAAACTTAATTGGTTCCAGACTCCTATTGTAACTCGAAATGGTTGTGTGTCGAAGCACCATTTCCCATAGGAATGCATTGAAATGCAATTAATCCGTTCCGGCCGAAGAAAAAAAATCATAAAAAAACCAACACTGCAAGACCCATTGGAAATGCGATTAATCCATTCCAGCTGAAGGGGGGGAAAGCAAACAAACCGTGCAAGACCCTTCAGAAATGCAAAAAAAAAAAAAAGCAGAAAGCAAACAAATCGTGCAAAACCCATCAGAAATAGAGGAAAAAACCCAAAAAGCAAACAAACACCCCAAGAGAGTTGCTGTGGGTTTTTCGGGCTCTTTGGCCGTGTTCTGAAGGTTGTTCTTCCTAACGTTTTGCCAGTCTCTGTGGCTGGCATCTTCAGATGACAGGAGTCAGAACGCTGTCTGTGCTCTGTTGCAGGTTGTTGGATAGTTGAGTATTTATAGCTGTGGGAACAGGTTTTGTCCTTTTCAGGAGATGGATGATTATGGTGATCAGCATGTTTTTGTTGTGGATGTATTGTTGTGATAAGGGGAAGAGATGATCTGTCACTGTGATTGATGGGTGTCGTTAGCTGGTCTTTTGTGTGCTGTAATCACTGGTCCTTGTGGCTGGTTCAGCAGTTCATGCGATGTTGTCCTTTGAACGAACAGGTTTCAGCAGTTCCCAACTTTGCTTCCCTTGCTGGGCAGCCACTCAGAGGCAACGTTCTGGCTTCTCTGCCCCACCTACTCTGGGTACTGCCGTTGCGTGGGTGCTTGCAGGAGGAGGCCTTACCAGATAGTCTGAAGCCTTCTCCGATCGCACTCACTGTAATCGTTGGGGCAAAAGAGCTACAAAGAAGCAGCCTCTTTGCAACCAATGGTTAGCAATTTGAATTCCCTGCCTTTTCCCCTGCCTTTTTCTGTTTGTAACTGGAAGCTCCAGCTGCAAGTCGAAGCAAAATTTTGTTGCCGGAGCTGGCCGTAACTTGAAATGGTCGCATGTCGGGACATTTGTAAGTCAAGGCACCACTGCAGTTATATTCATATTTTTCAAGGGAAGTATTTAAGAAGCAAAAACTTCACTAAACTTGGAAAATTGCTGAAGTCACCATTAATGACAGAGGCAGAGAAGGAAGCATTCATGATGGACAAACCACAGCTTCTTATCCCATGCTGAATTTGCACTGGCAGCGTGGCGGGTGTTTTATGTGTCGCTCTTCGCTTTTCTATGCTTTTTAAAATGTATGTAAAAAAACATTTTGCTTCATATTGGTTGTAATAGGATGAAAACCAAGTTTGTCCACTCCAGAGCTAGAGTACTCCCCCTACATCCATTCTGGAGGCACAGGATGAAGAGAAGATTTTAGATCTACTGGATCCAGAGTTCCCTTTGAGCTGCCCCTAAAATTCATGCTTTTCTGTACAACTACTGGTAGACCATCAGTGTGAAGGATTTGTTGGGCAACATAAAGACTTCTGAAGGTGGACTTCCACTGCTTGTATACCTTCCTTTCCAGAAGTGGAGACAAGAGTTTCCTACATCGTATCTCCCCTGAGAATATAAGTGGGGGGAAAAAGAGTATGCTCAGGAGTATCATTTGTAAGGCTAAGTAAACCCAGGTTTTCCCTTGTGCCTCCAACCCTGTTATATATGTTATATATGGCATAGTGGGGGACATGTTTCTATGCTAACCATATTCCAGGTTGCAGCTCAGTTTCTCTATTGTATAGAATGTATAGTAATCATTGAGAACTGAACAAGTCACTACCTCTGTAACCTTGGCTTAGCTTTCATTTATAGGTGTGATATAATTTAGAGCTTTTAATATTAATGGGTGAACTCTCCATCTTTTGACTCAAAATTAACTGCATTTTTTAGATTTTTCCTGATTGTTTGTTTTTTGGGGGGCACTTTACATTGGTTATCTTCTAGCCCAGTGTTAGGTATGTATGTTGATCATACTGAATAAATGAACTGTATTGAGAATTGTAGCTGTCGGTGAGCCATGGCAGTGAGCCATTTGGAAATATAATCAGTCCCTTTCCCACCACACACCACCTCCATCATGTCAAAACAAGCAGCACTGAGCAGAATCTGGGAATGAAAATGGTTTTAGGTCTAAATGGGGATAGCAATGAAATTAAAATGAAGTTTGTAAAAAAATAGTAATTGGAAGAACTGATTACAGAAGATGCTTGCTGGTTATGTGGTTCACAGCCAAAAAACATTTCAGCAAAAATGAAAGGTTAACAATAGCTTTCTATATTAGGATAAGAAATCTTGCATCAAGAGTATTTTTTAGCCCCGTTGGAATTCTAATGTTCTGGGTGTTAACAATAGGACTTGGGGGTAGGATTGTAGTACAGTTAGAATCAAGTACTGTATCATTTATTTCCTGAATGCACTAAAATCCCAGTCTTCTCCTGAGTTGGAAAGTCCTCTGAAACAGCCCTAAATAGTGCCATCTTATTGAAAACCATAATATGTTACTTCTGCGTCCTGGCATCATGGTTTGCAGAAATTGGCATGAGACATTTTAACCCAGAACATTATAACAACTGCAACAGTACACTCCTGTAGTGGTAGAACGTAATAGATCTGTTGTCACAGCCATTTTTTATCCGTAAACACAAATCTATATGGCAAGTAGCTGAAACTCGGGGACTTTGTACATCTTCATGTGACAATGCTGGATAATTGGGGCTGCTTCTTTGTGAATTCTGCAAAAAATGTAACTTTGGAGGAGTGAAGTGGCCTGTCTTTGATTCTAAAAAGTGAAAGAACCACTGTATTTGGAGATTGCAAAGGGTTTTATCTATTTTGATTGTATCTGCAAAATCTCAGTTTTACATTCCAGTATAGAAAATAACCTTCAGAGGAAATGTAGTAAGTAAGTAAATTTTATTATGTGGTCATAGATCTGATTATACGAAAAAGAGACCAGGTGACCACATCAAACATGGATAAGGCTATATTATGTATATACCTGGCCTAATTCAGAATGTCAACCATCTATTTATTCAGATTTGTAGGAGAAAACACAATGCATATGAAGAATTCAAGAAGTTTGTATGCTCTAGCAAGGAGCTCACCATAACTAGTCAGATAATCTTGCAGAAATAAGTTGCAAGGGATCTAAAAATGCAATTTACCATGCAGTTTATGTTTCTGGGATGTGTTTTGACCAAATATGTCCTTACTTTCTGTAATGGTTGTATTTGTTTTTGCTTTTCCTATCTATATGCTGTTTCCTCACATCTTTTCCTTTTTCTATTCTGATTATATAGGAAGTTCTTCCTGTTGCAGGGGTGGAGATGCAGTTAACAGCTGCTGTTTCGCTTTTGACAATTCTACAAGAGGAGTCAATATCCATCCATACATATTCCCACTCCTTCCTACACATCATTCTACAGAATCTGGAGCACAGAGATGCAGGTCAGAGTCATGCCATGTTGCTGATTTTTTTTAGCTTGCAGTGCTTTTTCTTTGCTTAGTGAGGTACTATTTAAAAAAGAGCACACACCAAGAAAAAAATCACATGGTGCACAATGCGGGCTTACCAGTACTGTATAATGCGGTATGCAGTGATTAGTTATCATTTTCCTTTGCCATCATTTAAAATGCATCATGTAGGGGCCTTTCTTCAAAACTTTTACGTTTCACAATCTTATAAGTGCATGGAATAAGATCCACTGAACTCAGTAGAACATTCTGCTCAGGATTTATATTTTTAGTCTCTGTTGCCATCTAATCCAGCTTTGTGTCCAGCTTCAAATATTTGAAAAACTGTCTACTAGTTTATCTATTATTTTTGTTTGTTATCTGTTATTGAGGTCAAATCTTCTGCAAGAAAGCCAAATGAATAAAACACATGGTGGGAATTATTAAGCATGACAGTATTTGCAAGTAACAATTGAGATCTTGTCAATTCCAGTGAAACAAAATAGTAACAGGTACTAAGACTATCTTTACATAAATTGTATGTTGGACCTAACTGACCCCGCGGGTGTTTAGATAACCAGAAATGTATATTTTGTAAACATACCCGGGGTAGAATTAGAAAAGTACATTGAATATAACAGTGTGATAATCATGTACTCAGAATTACCACCGAATCTTGAACATCTTATAACCATATGTCACATGGTGTAGAACAGTCTTTTATTGCATGGCATGTGGGAGGAAATCCTGCATGAGCATAGGATTGAGGCCTCACAGTGCTAGGTAGGTGTAAGCCCCATTGTGCTCAGTGTGATTTGCTCTCCACTTGGTGTAGGATTGAGGTCTTAATTGGTATTTTAACAGATAGCCTCCTGAAATCAAGCCCCCAGTTTCCCAAACAGCTTCCATCTAACTTGTGAAAAATGTGCTTGTAAGAGTTCTTATTTCAGAACACTGAAATAAAGTTGTTAATTAAAGGAGCTTTTTGAAAGTTGCCTGATAGAAGATGCACATCTATTTCTAGTCCATTTGTATCCCCCAGGTGTCAGTAATGCCTGGCTGGAAACTCTTCTTGCTGCAATAGAAGCATTGCCAAAAGAAACCATCAGACTAGAGGTAATATGTTTTCCTGTGAATATTACAGATAATATGAGCAGATGATTGATTGTGCCCTGTAGTTTTCCGAATGTCCAGTCCTCCCTTTCTCCCTCTAACTACAAATGATGCTTAGTTATATGAATTTCCTGTTTCCGTTTTTATTACCCCAGAGTATCCAGAACCTGCAGTCTGTATGAAAAATTTACAAGTCATGAGCTGAGGCACTCTGCCATAAATAAAAAGATATTCCTAGTTGTATGTTACTTTCGGTCTGATCGATAGGAAAGCACTTACTACATTAGTAATAAATAGGATGTAAGTGTAGAAGGGTCTGATCTTAGCAAAGTTTTAAGAGCACCATGCAAAACAGGCAGTAACTGATAAACATACCTTGTTTACATGGTGTCAAACTTGAACCATACAAGCAAGAAATATTCAAATATTTCTTCTGAATAAAAAATGAATTTCTAATGTTGAGGTGTTGTGATAGGTCACACAGATTGCCAGTTTTACTTGGAAAAGTGGGAAACCAATGTTATCCAATAAAGCTACATGTAGTGTTCTAGTTCAGATGTAATATAATGTAATAGGAATTCATAGTGTACTTGCATCTTCTTCCCATCCTCCTTCTTGTCATATGCAACTGTGAGGATTTAACGTTTTTGGTTTCATTTTGAAACCACAGTTCCACATGACACAAGAACTACAGTTTAACTATAGTAAGTGAGGAAAACTGAATTTGAAACCATGTTTCATCATGGTTGTGTTGACTAGCTAGAATGTGAGTGATGAATCCCATATTCTGCTAGCTGTGTTCTATCCATACTTGAATTTCATTTGGACTGTGATGTCAGCCTTAACGTATGGGAAAGAGGAGGGCATGACAGTGGGATTTGCTCTCTGATATGGCCATGATATGCTTGTCTATCCTGGTTGCACAGTGTGGGACAAAGACAAGTGATTATTTGGCTAGATCCAGTAGACTTTGGATGCTCCTAGCTGCTACCAGGCTGTAGAGAAGAATCGCTTCGGCCAATGATGCTCATGCTGGAAAACTCTGCAGAGATACCAAAGAACTGACAATAACTTGCTGGAGGGGATGTAGTATCAAATACAGTGAAGACAGCAAGTATGTGAAAAGCTTAGAAATCTTACTCTTTTGGACTGCAGCTCCTAGAATTTCCCATGCCTGATTATAACTGTCCAACCCGGGATTCTGGGAATTGTAATTCCCAAAAGTAACACTTCCAGCATGAGAAGGAGAGAGAGAGAAAGGTTGCAGAAGGGAATGGCACGGAAAGAGGAAAGAGAGAGAAGTCGGTGGCAAAAAGGAATGGAAACCAAAGGGGTAGAGTGGCTTTCCCTGTTGTTGGTGCTGACCCTTCTTCTAGTTTTGTTTGTACATTTACTACAGATTAGGTGCCCTCAACAGAAAAAAGGTCCATCACTCTTACACTAGAATATAAGCATAGCATGATTCCCCAGTTAGGTTGTCTCAGATGCCCTAGTTTAAGATCATAAGTCTAAGCTGGTAATGAACATGAAAAAGAAGCTGATGTTGAGCTTGGAAATGAGCAAGAAAACCTGAGGTTGGTATATATCTGTACCAAGGTTACAGCAGAACCTTTGTTAATTTTTTGTTCTTCAATGAAGTCTTAAAGAGTATTCTAAGAGGATTTAAAAGAATACTTTGATTTGTATTCTCGAAGGCTTTCACGGCCAGGATCCAATGGTTGTTGTAGTTTTTGCGGGCTGTTTGGCCGTGTTCTGGAGGTTTTTCTTCCTAACTTTTTGCCAGTCTCTATGGCTGGCATCTTCAGAGGGCAAGAGTTAGAACTCTGTGTTCTGCCAGCCACAGAGACTGGCGAAACATTAGGAAGAACAACCTCCAGAACCTAGCCAAACAGCCTGAAAAAACTACAACAACCAATACTTTGATTTGTTTTGTTTTCATGACATTTCATCCATATAAACCAGATATTGTTTTTAGTGTGTGTCCTGTTCCCAGGCAGGCTGATCCTGCAGACTGAGGCACAAATAAAACAGCCTGATAAGAGAGTCCAGAAACAGTATGAAGAATCAAAAATTAACTGAGCAAATTTAGCTTAGTTACCAATATAAGTACAGTGGAACGCAAGTATCCATGGGGAATCGGTTCCAAGTCCACTCGCAGATAATGAAAAGCACAGGTTATAGCAAACGCTATACATAACAGTGTGTTGGTCCCATGACTCCCCTGTACCTGTAATTTTTATCTTGATAGGGCCTTTATGAGTAAGAACTGAGTTGTAGTCTTGTTCATCCACATGCTGAAGACAACCATCTCTCTCCTCTCTTACACACACACAATCTCAGTGGCACTGTAATTGTCTTCTTTGAAGACTATTAGGAATAAATCTCCCTGTTTATCAAAAAGGATTGAGGAAGTTGCTGTCTGGAAGGCATGAAGGGCGGGAGGTAGGAAACCTCTCCCAAGAGGCATTTTGGCAACATTAGCACCCCATGGAACTTAGAAGAAGATGCTGGGACACTAGGTGAAATGGTGGTGGGTTATCTATAAAGGTAAGGACCCTCTTGTGCATGGGATCAGTATCCACTGATTCACTTATCCACAGTCTGAAAATATTAAAAATATTAAAAGAAAAAATGCAGAAAAAAATCTATTTCTACATGTATTACCAGAACTGGCCACTAGAATAATACATAGCTTGTTCTCTGGCACCCTCTAGCGGCCAGTTCTGGTAATGCATTTGAAAATATTTTTTCCGTTTTATCCCCTTTTCCAATGCTATATAGATATAGCATTTGCTGTTTTCTGTGGTTTTTATGGGGTCGTGAAACCAATCCCCTGTGTATATTGGAGTCATACTATATAGTATTGTGTCTGGTTCCCTCTAGTGGCTAGTTCTGATAGTTATATCTTGAAAATCTCTACTGTTTTTCTGGTTATTTTTATGTAATATTTTTAATACATGTATTTTCAGACCATGGATAAGTGAATCACCAGATACTGATCCCATGGATAAGGAGGCCCTACTGTAGTTTTAGAAGAGGTGGCCATGTTAGTTTGTGTTTTTACCAGTACAATATAGCATGCTTGACCGTGGTAGTTGTATCGCTGGGAATATGAGGTACTACCCTGTCACAGGCGCAGGCTATTTCCTTCTTCCAGTGTGCATGTGAATGTTTGCTTGTCTTCATGCCTGTCTCCATGTATGTGTGAATGATGGAGGGGGAGGGAACCTGTCTTTTTGTGTATGAATGCCCACTTTTACTCCTGGCTCTATCTCTCACCACTGTTATTGGGCCTCCTGCCCCATGATTTATAATAGACATCAGTTGCCCCTGCTACTAGGAGCTAGACAAGTTATCCATTTTTATTTTATGATAGTCCTGGCCAGGCAGCAAAACCAGGTGCTTTAAAGTGGGTTGCGTTATCAATAGCCTGGTGAGATGTGTTTGTTCATCTTGTGAGTCAAAAGTTGTTGGGTTGTAAAGATTGTAGGCAAGGTGTAAGTGAATGGCCTTGGGGCACTCATTACTTCTGTCATTACTGTAGAGAGGCTTGCTAACAAGAAGCTGTCAGTATATCCTGCACATTCAGATGTAAATTTGTACTGGTGCCACTCCTCTCTTACCAAAGGAAAGCTGCAAATTCTCAAGAGGACAGTCTTTTCACATGATTGTCAGTAGAACAAATACATTAATGACTGGAATCCATATTTTTTCCCTCTTAAAACAATTGAAGGATGCAAATACTGAAAACATTAGTTGGTTTCAAGAAGGGAAAACATTTGTGTATTTTTCCTAATAAAATTCCATTTGGGGAAAAATTAAATGTCTTCTTGCATTCCCACACTGATAATACAAATTTTCACTACTTGCTTTTTTTTTTTTTTTTTGGACTTATATCCCGCCCCATAGCGCTACCCTCTCCGGGCAGTTTACAATTTAAATTATACAGGCTACACATTGCCCTCCCCAGCAAGCTGGGTACTCATTTTACCGACCTTGGAAGGATAGAAGGCTGAGTCAACCTTGAGCCAGCTACCTGGGATTTGAACCCCAGGTCGTGAGCACAGTTTTAGCTGCAGTACAGCTTCTTGTGAAATATAATTTGGTCAGATGCATTTATCTTCATATTGGTGTGGAATGTTGAGCTTTTTATAATCTAATGAATTAGAGCAAGAAAAGCGCTTTGGAGTTTCATTTACTCTAAATGTCAAGTCTGTCTTTATCAGATTTGTTTGTGATCTCACACTTTCTATTCACAGCTGCCTCTCAAGAAGCCATTCCTGAAAGACTGATAACAAAAGGGGAATGCATCCAGAGTAGTATAATTTTTCAAGTGTTTTGTTACAGAAAATATAATTGAGTGACTGGCCCTTTTTGAAAGGAAAAAAAGCAGTAGGTTTTCTCATGCAAAACCATGTAAAGAGATACGACCTTTCTCGTAACTGTAGGAGTCTTGTGTTGGCCTTTTTCTAAATGTGAAAAGATTAGTAATGAGTCAGTGAGAGATCAACTGAATTAAGAGTAGTGGTTTGGATGTTCCCTGTGTACACCTGTCCTCTTGAATGAGAGCCATAGATGCTGTGAAATGTTCTTCACCTCATGTCAGAACATTTCATGGGGTGACTTAGAAGAGCATTTCCATGAATCAAAAGGATAAGGTTGGAAGTGGTCTTTGTTTTAGGTATAATTTTAATGCAGATGGAGTATTCCCCCCCCTCCAAGTATTCAGAAATCATACTTGGTTTGGCCGGTCACAGAGAAACCTCACCCACAAGTGGGTGCAGGGTTGTGTCTTTAATTCAGTATTTTTAAGATCTTTATAAATAACTTTATAAATAACTCTAGCCACCTAGAGTGGACGAGTCGCCCAGATAGGTGGAGTATAAATCAAATAAATAAACAAACAAACAAACAGCAACAACTTGGATGAAGGAACAGAGGGGATGCTAATCAAGTTTATATAGGACGCTAAACTGGGAGGAATAGCTAACATTTCAGAAGACAGAATGAGGATTCTGTTCTCCAGTAACAAACAGGAGAAATGGGTCAGAAGAAACAAAAAGAAAAAAACATGTACAGGTCTACATTTAGGGCAGAGAGAATGAGATACACAAATATCTTGTGGGTGTTTTGTGGGTCTCTTAGTAGGCTACAAGGTAGACATAAGTCAACAGTGTGATGCAGCAGGGGGGAAAAGCCAGTGCAATAGTAGGCTGCATCAACAGAAATGTGTCGAGATCAAAGGATGTATTAGTATAATTCTATTCTGCTTTAGTTAGCACTCATCTCAGATACTTTGTCCACTTTTGGGCACCACAGTTTCAGAAGCATACTGTGGGTGACGAAGAAAAGGTCTGGAAACTAAGGCCTATGAGGATGGCTGACAGAGCTGGTATGTTTAAGCTGGTGAAGTGAGGACTGAGGGGATGTGATGGTCATCTCCAAATAGTTAAAGGCCTGTTATTTAGAACCTAGGTTCTTAAATCCTGAGGGGCTGCAATGTTCTCACAGGAGGTCCACGAATGCTTGAAGAAATGTTATGATCTTTTGAAGTAAGAAAGAAAGAAAGGAAAGGAAAGGAGATATAGAAATCTTAATTTCACTTGCATGTTTGTGTAAAACTTGGCTTTTTTAACCTACCGCCTCCTTTAAAAATATACAGACGTAAAAATTGGTTATGAAAATAACTGTTTGATAGCAAATAACTGTTTGATATTTCTGCACACAAGCAATTTCACCTCAGCAATCATTTGACAGATTTTTCCTGGTTAGTCAAATTAGCATATGTCAGATATGTTCACCCATTTAAATATGCTCAATTTACATCTTCAAGGAGAAGAGGTTAGTTACAGTTTTTCAAGTTGAAGACAAAATTGAAGCAATGGTAAAAAAAAAACTTGGAATTGTGGCATCATCGCCTATTGAAACAAAAGTATAGGACTTTTTCAAACTTCACAGATTTTCTTGGTTCCACCAACAAAGAGTTATCTGAGGAGGACACATCACTTATCACATGACATTTGTAAGATTTTCAGCGTAGTTTTCTGTGAATATTTTTCTGTTCCTGATGCAAGCAGAAACTGGATTAGAGATCCATTTTCAGTTAATTTGTATGAACTAGAGGGGCTCACAACACAAGAGGAAGACAAGCTCATAGAAATATCCATGAATGGTGCTCCGAAATTTCATTTCAAGGAACAAGAAATTTGGTTCTTCCAAATTTCTGGGCTCACCTACAAGCAGATTTTCCAGAACTATCAAAGAAGGCTATGAAAGTATTGATGCCTTTCGTAATAACATACTTTTGTAAAATATTTTCTGCTCTTGTTTATATTTAAAATAAGTATAGAAACTGTTTGAAAAACATAGTCAGAACTCAGAATAAAAGTTCCAGCTATTAAGCCTGATATAACAAGGCTTGTAAGTGAAATGCAGCATCAGCCTTCTCATTAATTATAATTATTTGAATATAATGTTGCCTTTTTTTCTACCCAACTTGTGTTTAATGAGGTACGATTTTATACATATTATATTTATGTCATTTTCTAGCTTTCATTTTCATGTATAGGTGTGTCATATTAATTATTTTATGTGCTTGTAATTTCAGTTTCTCCAGCAGGAATTAAAGACAGTCATCATCATTATTATTGTTATTATTTTAAACTTGTATGGAATAATTCCAATAAAAATATTATAATAGAAATGTGTGCATTAACAGATTAACTTATTTCTCCCATCTTTCCAAACTTGAAGACCCTTCATGAGAAAATTTAAATAAATATTTGATGCACTTAGGATTTTAAATCTTGAGTTAAATCTTGGTGGTTCATGGCAACAAAAGATATTTAAAGGGGGTCTGTCGTAAAGAAAAGGTTGAAAACCACCAATATAGAAGATGGAATAAGCTTTTGTGTAGCTATGGAGGAAATGATGTGAACTAGTAGATTCAATCAAGAAAGAAATTTTTGACTAAATATTAAGAAGAACTTCCTCATAATAAAAACCCTGCGAAATGTCACTCTCTTTCATTGGATGTTTTTAAACAAAGATGGCCATCTCCCAGGGATGCCTTAGCTGTGGGTTTTCTGCTTAAGCAGGAGTTTTAACTTGATGATCCTTGGGGCTCCTTCCAGTTTTACAATCCTATGATTCTATTACAACGCTATCATTTAGCAGATATTAATTGAAATGGGCAAATATTAGTTCCAGTTAGCAGATGTTTAGGAATAACAGAAGTTAGCAGAGCCTCTAGCAGCAGGTTTAGAATTGAAAGTATCTAATGGTATAGTTCCTACTTTGTTGATCTCATTTTGCCTTTTTAAAATTGTATTGTAAAAGAGTTCACATCATAAATATGGGTAGGAAGTGCTAATTTTACAACATAAATTACAAATGGCCTTTACCTGAGTTTGTGATTGCGTAAGAAGCCAGAGAATATCTTCTTTACAACATGTGGAACTTTTTGTAGCAGTTTGTCTCATTTGAGGGCCAACTCTCAGATAACGCTCTTTTTTCATGAAGGTCCATTTTACTGAAGTTGAAAGTGTATAACTTGTAATTGTTTTATGTCTGGGATATGTACTGTGTGCTTTGTGTATTCTTATGCAAGCTGATGCTAACAGCAGTCTTAATATTTGAAGAGGTTCTTAATATATAATGCATATTTTATTGCTTGCCTTCTGTTTAATTCTAAATTTCTTCTTTGAATTTCTTCTTCTACCCCTCCTGCTCCCAACCCCACAGATCCTGAATCCTCTTGTTTCCAAGGCACAGCTTTCCCAAACACTTCAGTCTCGTTTGGTTAGTTGTAAAATCTTGGGAAAATTAGCTAACAAGTTTGACACTCATATGTGAGTAACTTGTGTTTGTTTCATATGTTCTAATTGATTAAAATATCCACAAAATGTTTTAAAATGACCTGCTGTAGGGTGGAATGGGAGAGCACTTCTGAATAAGTTGATGAACTGCACCAAAGAGTCCAAAAATAGGATTGAGCTGAAGCAGTCTTCCTCAGTTAAAATGGGCTTTAGAGAAGCACCCATCCTTTTCATGAGTACCCTATATGTAAGGGTGGAATACCCACTTGTCTTACCAGTAATGATCCTGGCTAATAGCCACTGAGCTTCTTTACTGTTCTGTTTTTCAGTCTTCTCTTCCAAAATGAAAACAGACAACATTCCCTGAAATAGTTATTTGGCTTCATGATAATGCCAAGTAATACCAGGTCTAGTGCACCAGATCTGCCTCAGCAATAACCCCATAAAATCAGATTGGAGTGTGGGCAATGCTTCCTGTCATCCTTCTGATACAGATGAAGAATTTGATACTAAAAAGCTTCAGGGAGTGCAGCTGTCACTGCTGGGAGGACCATCAACAAAATAAACAGTGGTGGACAGTGGTGGTGGTGATGGCTTTCATAAAGCCTTTTGTCCTCCCCCAAAACTTCCCATTAATACCCAGAATGTTTGCGTTAGCAAACTTGGACCAAAGATATTTGTTAATTGATAGAAAGATCTTGTATGATTGAATGGCAACTGAAACAGATTGAATGACATCTGAAACAAATCCATCCCAAGGTGATTTGTCCTTGTTATTAACCATACATATTAGCAGTTCACATTGAATTTCATTCTTGTTTTTGCATTTATGTTTAGATGAAAACATTTATGCTTTATGATAATCAGCACAGGTCATGAGCAGAATTTTGTTATAAAATATTGTTTTAGATGTGATGCTAGGCATACTTCTCATTCCTGAAACCTGGAAAACACAGCATTTGTACTTGTTACTAGCAACCTTTTTTTCTTGTTAGGCAGTGTTCCTAAAATGTAAAGTACAGTGGTGCCTCGCTTAACGAGTGCCTCGCTCAACGATGAATTCACATAATGATGGCCTTTGCTGGAAATTTTGCCGCCTCACCTAACGATGTTTCCTATGGGGGATTTTTGCATAATGATGTTTGGGACCTTGCTTCACTTAACGATGACAGTTTTAGGTCCCCTGTTTCGGTTAACGTTTTTTTTTGACAGCCCTGTTTTCGCTATTTTAAAAATATTCTAAAATGTTTAAAAATGTTTAAAATGCTTGGAATTGTTAGTGCACCTAATAAAACCTTCGTTAAAGTAATTTGGCTTCGTTCTGAGTCTTTTTGAATTTTTGGTGATTTTTTTTCACCATTGAAATGTATTGAATAGGCTCCCATTGGAACGGATTAATCGGTTTTCAATGCATTCCTATGGGAAATGGTGTTTCGCTTAACGATGTTTTCACATAACTATGTTTTTAATGGAACCAATTAACATCGTCATGTGAGGCACCACTGTATAATGATAGTATAAACTGTGATATGGAGGTCAAAGATTTACTATGAGATAAATTGACTGAGATGTATCACTTAAGTGGAGTTAAAAAAATATTTATACAATTGTTGCCTTTTTTTAGTGTTAAAAGAGAAATTCTCCCACTGGTAAAATCTCTCTGTCAGGATGTAGAATATGAGGTTCGTTCCTGCATGTGTCGGCAACTGGAGCTCATAGCTCAAGGAATAGGGTGAGCACAATTTGTACTATTACTACAAAATGTAAACAATTGCATATGATAGTGATATAATAGTGATAATCTGAAAAGCAGTTAATAGAGCTCAAGCTAGGAGCACAAAGGAAATGAAATCATGGTTCAAAAAACAAAAACAAAACACCCACTGGAAAAGGCAGTAATGCCAGTAGAAGTTGAAGACAGTAGAAAAAGAAGATCTGACATGAGATAGATTGATTTAGTAAAGGAAGCAAAGGTTTTTAATCCTCTGAAGGGTTATGAACTATAGGATCTTTGAGAGGTCATCAACTTGTAGATTTCCTTAAAACAAAAGTAAAGCTTGCTGCTTATTTACCACCCCATGAGCACTCTCTGGACAGTTTATAATTTAATTTCTCTGGACAGTTTCTAATTTAATTATGCAGGGTACGCATTGCTGCCCCCACCCCACCCCGCAAGTTGGTACTCAATTTACTGACCTCAGAAGCATGGAAAGCTGAGTGAACCTCAATCCACTTACCTGAGATTGAACCCAGGTCATGAGCAGAGTTTTGGTTACAGTACTGCAGTTTAACATTGTGCTATAAGGCTCCAAAAGTCAGAAAGTACTGCATAATACAAAGCTTTCCATTACTGGCGATGAGATAGAAGGGTTTCTTATGAGTCTGTCTACTTGACTAAGGATGACTAATTCAGCATGATAGAAAATCGACCTCCATGGGGCAAACAGGTAAATGACAAGAGAACAGGTGGGGTTTCTTGCCAAAGCTATAGACTAATCAGAATTTGAGATTCGTACATCGCTTTAACTGCACTGATAACTCAGAATTTAGGAAGACATTTGCATTTATCTGCTGTTTCCATTGTTCATCTCCTCATGTGAGAGAGTAATTACTGCTGATTAAGTTGCAGTAGAGGGACACAATATGAGAGTAATTGCTGCTGATTAAGTTGCAGTAGAGGGACACATAGGTCACAAACATAAACTACAATGAATTCAAGTAGCTAGCCTACTGCTATCCTTTTGTTCCTAGATAATATGACTGTCTTCTCTGTGCACGCTGTCCCTGAATAGAGAAATAGCAGCCAAGGTGGGAGGCTAAACCATTCTCATTAGAAACATGTTACAGCTTCCCAGTAATACACCACTCTTTCTTCAGTTCTCTCCTGTCATGCTTTCAGGGCCTCTTTATGTCATGTTCAGCCATGTGTTTCTTTTAACTAATGTTTCCTTTCTAATTTTTTTTCCAAATCACAGGAAGTAGCTCTCCAAGGCTGAGAGTTTCAGCAGAGGAATTTAAAATAGGTGGGGAAGAATGAAATGGCTTAATTCTTTCCCTTTCAGCCATTGTTCAGCTCAAAATATCTTCTCCAGCTGCTTCTCCCTGCACAAAGAGAAAGATATATGTATCTGTATCTTTTGCTTCCCAGGATGGAAAGTGACCTGGAGGGTAAGATTTTGAGCAAAAATGGCAAAAAGGAAAAAGCTAACTTTGGCATTTCCTCTGTTGAAGCCTCAGAGGCTTAAAGGAAAACAAAACATGTTGGAGAAAGTTATTGGTATAGTTTGGCCCTGATTTTCAATGTTTTTTTTTTTTACTCTTCCCTTTCTTCTGCATATCTTTATCTTTCTATTTTTCACTCCACCTTCAACCACATATTTTCTGCCAAAAATCTAATGATGCCACCTTAGGCCTCTTCTCTTCTAACCCTGTCACCTGATGACTTTTCCACTGCTGAAAACAGCACTTATTTTTCTCTCTGCCGCCCCCCCTCCATCCTTATCAAGCAGCTCACCTGCTGTTATCTTTCTTTGACTTCTTCTACTTCCATTTCTGTGCACTCTTGTTGTCCTGCTTCCTGTGCCTGGAACAGGCAGGTTACATTCCTATCTCTGTTTAAATCTTTTCTTAAAATGCAGTTCTTTTGCAAACTCTTTTCTGCCCCAGTGTAATTTTAATCCATTTGGTAGACATTTTCAACTCTTTGTCCATCTTTTGTACTTTTTACTTTGAATCAACACACAATTGGCACACAATGCGGATTTAGCACTGAGTGACTCCAAGAAAAAGGATGCTGAGCAGGAGTGAGAATGCAATTTTCTCACTTTGCCACAGATATAGTACTATTCAATGAGTGTTGATTATTATGTGAGTTTTGGACTGATTTTTCTTCAGAACGGCATGTTTAGCAGGAATGGGAAACTTGTGGCCTTCAGATATTTTGGACAATATTTTGGACTTCCACAATCATTTATCGCTGGCTGTAGTGTTTGGGGTTTCTGGAGAATGAAGCACTAAATACCCCGAGAGTCTAAAACTCCCTACATTTATTTAAAGTGGAAGTGATTTGAAGTGTGTGGGAAGTCCCAAGGTCTTCACATTCTCACTAAGCCATAAGGTTTAGTGAGTGAACTTGTGCTATTTAATCCCCTTCCTCTTTCCTCCTCACAACAATCATGTGGGGTATTTTAGGCTGAGATATACTAACCTGGTACATTTCGTGGTTGAGAATGTATTTGAACTTGGGTCTACTCAATTGTAGTCTGACACTCTAACTGTTCTGTCTTAGCAATTTTAGGAGCTGCTCTTTTAATTTTCCTTTTGGAAGTTGTATCTTTTGGCGACCTGCTGATAATATAAGATTTGGATATGATGCATGTGGAGTTGGAGGGCAAAAATCCCATCTAGACCAAAGCCGCCCAGCGTAGGCTTCGGTCTAGATGGGCGGGGTATAAATCTAATAAATAAATAAATATTTATTTATTTATCTCTGTTCCTTTCTGTCTACCTCTATAGTATTTCTCCCTTCCCATTTAGATACTCAGTGAAAGTATGGAAATATTGTCTTTATAAAAATATATGGATTCATGTATTTCAGGAATGAAAGCTTTATCCAAGAATGACTTCATTAGAAATATTCTTCATAGGAAGCTGTGTCTGTTTCATAATTCTACCATTTGTGCCAAATCAGCTTTTTTCCATTTTTAATTTGTTTTCTTTGTTTCCCTTTGTTTCACTGGAAAGCATACATGCCCCCTACTTACAACCATATGTTCCCTTATTTCCTTGCTGACCAACAGTTTAACAGCTTTCTAATTTTTCTCTTTCTTGCCACATAAAGCTCAACTTACAGTCCCTTTGTTTCCTCTAGCATTTAAGTGACTCTCCAGTTCCACAGGGAGGGATTAGATAATGAGGATTTAAACCTGAAAAAAAAAGACCATAGAGTTGTGTGATCTGCATGCATTAAGAAACACATAGACACAAAACAATCTGATAGCAAATATTGGATGTCTTGAGCAAAGATGTGCAAAGAGAACCTGAACTTCCATTATAATCAATATGTTTTCACTGGAATTCTGAATTTGTTCTTTCATGTAGTTTTTTTTTTTTTCTTAATGAATGTTTTCCATTAAATTCTGTGGGCAAAAGTGAATACGGAGTGGTTTGATATTTCCATATTAAGAGCAAAACTTCTCCTTTTCCTGGTGGGGGGGTGCCTGCAGGGGGGCGGAAGTCTCTCGCGCATATGCGCACGTTGCATTCGGGGCACATGCGCACAGTGCGCTCATGGGGCTGAATGTGCCTGCGCTTGGGGGGGTAGGAGATCTGTGTCCGCAGCCCGGTCCTGGATTGGCCGTGGACCACTGCAGACCTGGGGTTGGGGACCCCTGCTTTAGACCATAGGAGACCAAATGTCCAAGACATCCTGCTTTAGTCAAACAATTATTTCAGCTTTCACTTGATGACAAGTTAAGATTTCTGTTTTAGGTTATAGTCATACCTAAATCTTTCCCAAAGTATGACATTTTCTGTGAAGAATGAAGTAAGCAAGCTCCTTATTTTGTTGCTCCTTAATTGTTTTCTGTTATTATTATGGGGTGGTGGATATAGTCACACTTAATCCAATTGAAATCAGTGGGCCTGAGTTGTTCATGCATAAGGGTTTCTATGAGACCAGAATATGACTGATGTTCTTTGGATCCAACACAGTGGATAAATGTACAGAGAATCTTAAGGTTGACCCATAGGTGGTTGTAAAGGGAGATAGTTTTTACAGTTGCCTATTATCTGCTTTTGTCCATCTAATTTGTTTTCTTTTTCTTTTTTCCTTTATCAGAACTGAACTGACAAAAAATGTAGTGCTCCCTGAGCTGGTAGAATTAGCAAGAGATGAAAGCAGCAGTGTACGCCTGGCAGCTTTTGAGACCCTGGTCAATCTTCTCGAAATGTTTGATGCAGGTAAGATTGGAACTCAGTTCCTTTGATCCTACTCCATTGCAGTTCCTCTGCAATTATATTTTCAGTCTGATCATGTTCTTGTTTTGATTAAATTTCCCAAAAGGCCCTGTTGTTCACCTTACTAATCTTTTCTCTTTTTCAGATGATAGAAGTCAAACTGTCCTCCCATTAGTGAAGTCATTCTGCGAAAAATCCTTCAAAACAGACGAGTCTATTTTGGTTTCATTATCTTTCCATTTAGGGAAGCTTTGTAATGGACTATATGGTAGGGCTGAAAGGTCTTTAACACTTTTTTTAAAGGGGTGCTGCTGGGTTACTCATGTTTGGGTTGGAATCTTTTAAATATTGTGGTCCTCAGAATTCTTTCATTGACATAAATGAGGTTGCGGTCACACTGGCAGTAAGAATTGTGTCATTTAAGTCAATTTAGATTTTGTCATTCACATGATGCAAGAGTGAAATCGATTTATATGGGCTGCATAGTGAACTGTTTTCAAATGACTAATAGGGTTTTTTAAAAATAGCTTCTAAAATTGATTCAATACAGTGTGGTTTTGTTGATGTGAACATTGCTGTTGTTTTAATTTGTCCTTATATGGATTTTGAGTGGCAGGGGCAACACCATTTTCCCATTCACAGTTTTTAAAAAATCTTAAAATATTTATCGCTATATCACTTCATCAGTATGTTCTGCATTATGACCACTGTTCTCTCCATTCAGCTAATGAAGGATCCAACAGAGTAGCAGAAGACCAGCAGGCACAGAGTAGGTGCAGAGCAGGTACACCTGGACATGGAGGATGGTCTGTGCACCAGGAACATAACCTCGCAAAGGAGCTGGATCGTTTCACCTCTGTTCTCATTTTTTCATCATTAATTGGATGGGGTCATCTCTTTGGTGTTCCCCCCCCCCATGATTTCTAGAGACTATTGTGACACCAGTTGGCACTTTGTAGACACTTGATTTATTACTTATTTTTTTAAGAAATTAAAATCCAATCAAAACCTTTGTGAACAGTGTGCTTCTAAAAAAATAAAGGAAATGAGTTTATTTCAGCAATATAGACACCAAACCCAGTTTAAATCACTAGAAATAAATCGGTTTCCATTTAGTGCATGTGAACCAGTTTAAATACCACATGTTTAAATACTGGTGTAAGTACCATCAGTTTAAATACCACGGGGCTTGGACCTAATTTTTAAAAAGTCTAAATAGAAGATGATTCACATTGCCAGTGTGACCACAGTCTGAGATATCAAAAAATCATATGGTTGAAAAGAATGTCTTTTATAATTAAGTGGCCTAGTTTGCTATAATCTGCACACATCCCTGCGACAAATGTCGTGGTATTTAGTACTTTATCTGAATTTGTAATTCACATACATTTCAAAAGCTTAAGGTGCATAAAAACAGGATTAGAACAAGATACAATATATGTCCTGTTAAAGATATAACAGAAATAGTGGATTAGTCTCTGAGAGGATTAGATTAGAAAAATTTAGTTCCTGAGGTTTTTTTTCCTGAATCCCATTATCTCCAGCAGTCAAGGAGAGACGGAAAAGGGAAATATGTTTTGCTAATGGATTCGAGCCTGAAGTATTTTCAGGTCTTATGGAAATGTTTTATTTATCTGAGACTGAACAACAAATCACTATTTTTTCCTTTGGGGGAAAAGGATGCCTGAACGCAAGGTCCAAAGTGGGTTGTTTACTTTGGTAGCTCTTCAGTCCATTTGTGGGGAATCTCTCGTAGTCTCATTTGAACTTTTGCACTAGAACTTTGTACAGTATTGGGAATTCTGCATAGAGATGTATGCTGCAACTGCATAGTTCATGTAATAGATTTCATTTGGGAATTCTGCATAGAGTATGCTCCAACTGCATAGTTCATGTAATAGATTTCATGAACATTTAATGTGGAGATATTGAGCAGAGCCAAAAGGTATTTAATGTCATTAGAAGAGTTCCTTAGCTATTCACATTTGCTTATAAACTAGATTAACTCAAGATCACAGCAAAGACTAAAGTGAAACTCATCCAGAGCTCAAGCAAATATGTTACTGTTTATGATAGGTAATACGAGAAGGTACTCCTAGAAGCCAAAGATAGCAAGAGGTTTTTTTTAAAACTACAACTCCTGGAATACTTTAGCTAGCACTGAATATTCTGGAAGTTGTACTTCAAAAAGTAACTTTCTCATTTCTGATGCAGCAATGATGAAAAAGCCCATCTTTCTCTTATAAGGTTTTATAATAACGTGCTGGGTGCATCAAACCATTTCAATGAATACTAGTTAATCAAAACTTATGATTTATATGAAAGAAGACATGAGCTTGGAAGGATTACTGTATTTTTCGCACTATAAGACACACTTTTCCCACACAAAACGGGGGGGTGGAAAGTCTGTGCGTCTTATGGAGCGAAGAAAACAGATTATTTTTTCCTGTTCTCCTAAAAATTTGGTGCGTCTTATGGAGAGGTGCGTCTTATGGAGCGAAAAATACTGTACTTTTTGAGGCAATAGTTCCTAGCAAGCTTCAGCTATTGTGACCACTAGCCATGCTGTCCAATAAGATTCTGGGAGGTTTTGTCCAAAAAAGGGAACATTTCCATGGTCTGCATATTGACTTGTTGGTTGATGGAACCAGGAACAAGTCATTTGTCTTCAAATAAATAAAGGGTTCTCAATGTTCTTTTGCATTCACAGGATAATAGTGCATATGACCTTGTCCTTTTAGAACATTAGGATTCAGTATACCAGACTTCTAACTACTTTACAATGGGAACTGTATCAATGTGCTAAGTGTCAAAGTCATCTTAAGGTCTCAATAGCTACAGACAGAAGAGGTTAGCATGAAGGCTTTACTTTGAGCAATATACTTCTCGTACAATATTCTTCTGTTTTCAGACCAATGGTAGGTTAGTAGTTCTCTACTATCAGTATCTTGCAGAAGAGCCCTAAAGCAGGACTTAACATATATTTCTTGTACTTGAGATCCTCAAAACCTGAAGTGTTCTTTATGATCACTGTTTAAAGAAATATGTGGGTGAAATTAGAAACAATAGTTATTATTCTTAGCTTTGTATTTCAGGGAAATATTACAGTTACTGATTGCAATGTGATATGGAGGGCTAGCCTTTCTAGGGAGGAAAGAAAAGTCTCAAGAAGATGTCTTGATGAATTTTGGTTTTTTTATTTAAAAATGCTATGCTCTTAAAAATTGCCGATATAGGAATATTGTCCCTGTGAGTAAATAGTTCTTGCAAATATCTAATGCTTCTTCATATTGGTACACAACATTTTCCAAAAGGATTTTGTGTAGACATAGGGGTATTTGTATACAAATATGAATACTCCACCACAGGTGGACATAACATGGGTCCGGCCCGTTTTGTGTAAACATAGGGGTATTTCTATACAAATATGAATACTCCACCACAGGTGGACATAACATGGGTCCGGCCCCCTGGGATCGGACTGTCCACTCACCGTCTGTTGCTGCTGCGGGCTCCACACTCCCTTTCTATTGCTCTGGAGCTCATGGGCGATTAACCATTCCTGGCAGAAGGCGGGATGGCGAGACACTTTGCCAGGTTGAAGAGTGGCTGGCTGACTGAGTGCTCCAGAGTGATAGGAAGGGAGCATGGAGCCCGCAGCAACAGCCGATGGTGAGTGGACAGTCTGACCCCAGGGGGCTGGACCCTTGTTATGTCCACTTGTGGGGAGGTTGTCGTATACGAATACCCCCATGTCTAGCTTTGTGATTTCTGGAGCAAAGGGATTAATTCCACATTAGTAATAATTGTTTTCAGGGTTTTCTATGTGGACAGTACTCAGAAGTGTTTTACTGTTCCCTTCTTCTTGAGGAATCTTGAGAGTGTGCAGCTTGCCGAAGGTCATAGAGGCCGGCTCTTCTGGGGTGCACAGCAGGGAATTGGATACCTTATTCATTGAGCTACCCAGACAGCGAAACAATTTCACATTAAGGGATATATAGTCACAAGAATTATGTGAAATAAGCCCAGTGGAGCAAAATTTTGCATCCCAGTGTCAGCAGTCCAAAGTCCAGCATTATCTTCTCCACTAATCACTTTTGACAGGCTGTTTTTCTGTATGCATGGGAAAGTAAAATTTTGAATAAGCGTTTTATTTGTTTGAAGGGATTTTTACACCAGAGCAACATTTGCGATTTTTGGAATTCTATAAGAAGCTTTGCACACTGGGATTAGAGCAAGAAAATGGGCACAATGAGAACCAGGTACAACTCCAAACCCTAGAACAGGAAAAGAAGTACATATCAGTGAGGAAGAACTGTGCTTACAATTTACCAGTGAGTAAACTACTATTTTATTTAAATATCTGTTTATAATTTGTGTACAATATAATCTTGTAAAACTATTCCTGGCTTTAAAGTGGTGGGATATCCCCAGAGGCTCCCCCCACCAGCTAGAAAGTGAACCATTCATTCATTCATTCATTCATTCATTCATTCATTCATTCATTCATTCATTCATTCATTCATTCATTTTTATATTGCTCATCTAGCAATATCAGGGTAGTGTACAATAAAAAATAAAGCAAACATAAATTAAGAAATCAACTGTAGAAGCACTAAACTATCCTTAAAAATAACAAACATAAATATTCGATAGAGCCATTATGACCTGTCCTCCATTAATTTACCCAACCCTTAGTTAAAGTCATATCACCACATCTTCGGGTGACCACGGTAGTCCTGAATCTTCTAGCAGTTTTGTTAGGTGACTGAACCTTAGAATTTTAAAAAGGAAAAATACTTTGTTCTATCCATTTGATGTTAGAAATTTCTGTTAAGGAAACCCTTTTTCTTTGCGCTAGAGCCCAATGGTACTTGCTTGAGTAAGAGTTCTAATAGCTTCTTTAATACTCCAGTTGTGTTACAGTTTCAGTTGTGTATTTTAAAGCCTTTATGTGCTATTCTTCATTAAATACTACATGGTTTTCTATTGCTAGGCAATGATGGCTTTTGTGGATCCAAAAAACTTTAGTTTGGAATTGTACTCTACATTCTTTTGTCTATGCCATGACCCTGAAGTGCCAGTCAGACATGCTATGGCTATTGGCTTCTATGAAGTAAGTTGAGGAATAATGCTTGCCTTTGGAGAAATAACTGTTTTAGCTTAAACAACTAATTTTTTTATGTATAGACTCTTATTAACATTTGATACACTGGTACCATATTTCAGATAACTATAACTGTCTTGTACAGCAGTGCAGCAAAAGAAGAACATAATCAAGTTGCACACGTACAGTGGGGTCTCGACTTACGAACTTAATCCGTATTGGAAGGTGGTTCATAGGTCGAAAAGTTCGTAGGTCAAATCTGCATTTGCCATAGGAATGCATTGAAAACCATTTAATCTGTATCTGCTCTTTTCCGTCCATAGAAACTAATGGGAAGCTGCTATTTCGCCTTCTGCCACTAGAGGGGGATATTTTTTATTTTTTTCCCTTAATTTCAGGAAACCAGGAGGAAGGCAGGGAACAGTTCGCAAAGCACTTTAGAAATCTTTTTTTTTTCGAAACCAATTTTAAATCATGTTATTTTAAATCAAGACATTCAGCACAAAGACACACAGGCAGGCTTTTTAGGTGCTGAGCAAGCCTCTGGAAGCCTCTTCAGAGCAGGCCGATCAGCTGATAGGCGGGGGGGGA